AAATATTCCACTTATATTTCTCTTTCCTTCTTTTTTTCTTTCTCTTTCCTTCTTTCTTCTCTTCCTCTTTCTGTTTTCTCTTTTCCTCCCTCCCCCCTCTCTTCCCTCTTTCCCTCCTTCTTTCTTTCCCTCCTTTCCTCCTTCCCTCTTTCCTTCCTTCTTTCTTTCCCTCTTTTCCTCCCTCTCTCCCTCCTTCCCTTCCTCCCTTGCTTCCTGTCTTTCTCTCTTTCTCTCTTCTTTCTCTCCTTTTTTTCCTTCCTCTGAGACAGAGTCTTGCTCTGTCACCCAGGATGGAGTGCGGTGGCATGACCTCGCCTCACTGCAATCTTCTCCCAAGTCCAAGAGATACTCCAGCCTCAGCCTCCCAAGCAGCTGGAATCATAGCTGTGCACTACCAAGTCTGGCTGTATTTTTGTATTTTAGTAGAGACAAGGTCTTGCCATGTTGGACAGGCTGGTCTTAAACTCCTGGCCTCAAACAATCCACCTTCCTTGGCCTTCCAAAGTTCTGGATTACAGGAGTGAGCCACTGTGCCCAGCCTATTTTAATTTTTTTAAATCAAAATCACATACATTTTTAAAGCCTTCATTTGTATTTCTCTCTTTCTTCTAAAACCATTTATATACATCTAGATAATTATATATATGCAATTTTGTAACCTAATAATTTTCACTCTTTTATATGTCTATATTACCGCCGTCTAGATTAGAAGCTCCACAGAAGGACTGGTTAAAACTTCAAAGTCCTCTACTCTTTTATAGAAGATGGTGCATTTAATACCTGAAGGGGTATTCAGTATTTGATAGGTAGCTAGACTTACATTAGAGGATTTATAAATATTTATGAATTTACAACCACAAAAGTTGACAGGTTTTGCAGGTTTTTAAGTGATAATAACATCAAGATAGAGATGAAAATAACATCTGCATTTCCGCCCAAATAAAGTTAATTCAGAAAGCTTCAAGGTTATCTTATAAATTTGAGACAAACAGAAGGGATTAGATGAATTAAGTACTGAAGTGAGAACACTTACCGTTTCTGTGAATATGAATAAAATTTCTCCTATTGTGATTTGCCCAGGAATAATATGGCTATCTCCTGTGGTTTGAATGTGTCCCCAAAAATTTATGTGGTGGAAACAACTCCCAATGCAACAGCATTGTGAGCTGAGACTTTTAGGAGGTGATTAAGTCATGAGAGCTCTGCCTTCTTGAATGGATTCATGCTGTTATCATGGGATTGGATTGTTATCTGAGGAGCGGTGTCTATAACGGATCAGTTAGCCCCCCTCCCTCTCTCTCTTTCTTTCTCTCACTCATGTTCTTTTGCCATGTGATGCCTTCCACCATGTTATGATGCTTTGAGAAGACCCTTGCCAGATGCAGCCCCTCAATCTTGGACTTTTAGATTTATGAAACAAACTATTGGTTAGAACGTGCCCAGTCTGTGATATTCTATTCTAACAATGTAAAATGGACTAAGATACCCTCCTATTAAGTGAAACATTATTCTCTCAGCTTATAAATTTCTGAAACTCTAGAAATCCAGAGTTCTAAATAAAACTCAGTTAAACCACACCTGAAAGAATAAAAGCAGTAACTACAGAATTGGCTACATAATGGCTACTTTTAGCATAGATGTATGATTACTTTACTGACTATATTCAGGAAAAATATGCTAACTTTGTACATATGGGATATTCAAATTTCCCTTCTTGACAGATTGCCCGAAATGATGGTGATGATTTCTTCGCTTGATATGAGAATTTACATTCAAATTCAACAGCATCCCCTGTTTTTATATAAAGTTTTTCACTGCTGATCCATTTTAACTGTATGTTATTTTTGTTCATAGTTTCTCCAGATATCACACATGGTTCTAAAAGAAGAAATGGTAAAATAAAATAAATAAATATATTTACTTTCATAGAATAGTGAAATTCTATTTAAGAATATTTTGGAATTAAATAAAATGATGAAAATATATTAATATTTATTGAAAAATAATATTTATTGAGTTATTATGGGTACTGTTCTTAGCACTGTGTATGGGCCACATATGAGGAAATGAATTCACAGAGAAATTTTCCCAAGGTCACACAGTTTAGTAAGTGCTTTGAGCCAGAATATGGATTCTACCAGTGTGACTTCAGAGCCTGAGGTCTTAATTGCTATACTTTACTAAAAATTCTACCAGCATGAATGTTGTTGTTGAGACATCCCTTTTTATAATGTAATTATTTGTGAATCTTAACTTTTGTAAAACCTTGATTTCTGTAGAAAACCAGTGTTTTCTTCCCTAACCACAGATGTCACTCATTCTTTCTTAAAATCAGCATTTTTTAATTGAGAGACGATATTTCTTGAGTAAATAACATATTCTGATGTTACGAAACAGCATGTTCTCTTAAGACCATAATCTCTGATACAGAAATTGTTCAAAAGATTCAGAAATAAGCCAAGGGCTTAATTTGAGAAGCCATTCTAGGAAGTGGCAACCATAAAAACTTTTTGTACTTAAGATTCTTCCATACTTAGGAGATCTTTGGATATGTTACCACCTATTTCCCAGATAACACATGAAAGACCAGTCCCTGCCTTTCCAGGTGAGAGCGATCTATTTTCTTCTTGACTTTTTGGTACACATGAGTGACCACATAGCATAGGACTTAGGTACGGGGAATTGGAACCAGATTGCCTGTGTCTGAATCCTAGCTCAACCAAATACCGACCTTGCGATTTGAACAAAATACTGTCTTTCGTGCCCCCGTCTCTTCATCTGTAGACATAAGTTGTTAATACTCAACTCACAAGGTTATTGATAGAAATTTAGGCAGTCTCTATGGTTTACTATTACAATGAGAAGATGAATAACCTTGTACATGTATTCTTCCTTGCAAGAATGCATATATAGAATAATTTTCCAGAAATAAAATCATTAGATTAAAGGATCTATGTTTTTAATATTTGAGGCTTAGTCCCAAACTATGCTTCAAAGAGTTTGGCCAATTAATAATTTATATAAAATATACAATATGATAGACAATTTATACATATATTAGGTATATATTTATATTATACAATTATATATCATATTTTATAATTTAAACATATATTTAAAATATGTTTATGTGATATATAATCATATAATCATAATCATATGATATATAATCATACATACACTAAATATATGTAACATATGTAACATATATTATATGTAAGAGTATATATGTAATCTATAATATATAGTATATGTATATACTATATACCTATATACATATATGTAACATATTTATACATATATATTATTTGTATATATGCATACATTTGTATATATGCATACATATATTACATACAATTATATGTATGTTAATTGTATAACTATAATGTTACATACAATGCATATCTAACATATAAATATGTATTTATACATTATGTATGACATACAATATACATAACATATATGTATACACATATTATGTGCATTATGCATACATATGAATACATATAGTATACACATATTATGTATGTATACATGTATGTTACACACATATATTCACATATAGGTATGATACACACATATTCACATACAGATATGTTACATGTGTAATACATGATATGTAATATGTATTTATACATGTATGTGTAATTATATACTTGTATGTATATTAGAGTGTTTAACACCCCATATTCTTGCCAAGCCTTTATGTTATGTATTTTTTTCTTTTTGCCAATTTCCTAATCAAACATTGCCACTTCATTGAAATTTTATGTTGGTGTAGACAAGCATTTTTTCATGTTTGTCATATGTTTATTATTTTCAGTTTACATACTTTACAGAATTTTTATACTGATTTTTGATTAATTTGTAAAAATTCTTATGTGTTAAGCACCTGAGAATATTCTCCATAAATCCAGAAATTGTGAAGTTATCCTTAACTCCTCTTTCATTTGGTTCCTGTTTTTTTACTTACTAGTCAAAATCCTAATCTATCTCTGGCAGGGCTATAAAAAATCTCCACATATTGCATGTTTTCTCAGTTTAAAATAACCACATGTTCTTACTCAACTGATTATTCTGAGATACTACATCAGGCTGGGCACAGTGGCTCACACCTGTATTCCCAGCACTTTGGGAAGCCAAGGCGGGTGGATCACCAGGCCAAAAGTTCGAGACCAGCCTGGCCAACATGGTGAAACTTCATCTTTACTAAGAATACAAAAATTAGCTGGCCATGGTGGTGCATGCCTATAATCCCAGCTACTCAGGAGGCTGAGGTAGGAGAATTTCCAGGAGGCAGAGGTTGCAGTGAGCTGAGATCATGCCACTGCACTCCAGCCTGGGTGACAGAGCAAGGTCAGACTCGAGAAAGAAAAAATAAAGACAGACTACATCAAAAAACTGCCATTAAAAATATGTAATGGCTCCCTACTTCATTCAATACCTTAAACCATCCAAAGAAATATATTTCTGGTATTCCTTCTTCAGAGCTGTCTAATCACATGGGAAATAAAATTATTTTCCATTTCATAGTTAGATCATCTTTCCTTGAATTGTCTAGATACCTATGATGTTTTTTTTTTTTGCTTGTTTTTGTAGTTTTTGTCATTGTGTGTTTGTGTTTCTTATTGTTCAAAATATTGTTCCTTTCTGCTAGAATGCCCTTCCTGTAAACCCTGTCAACATGGCACACACTTTTTACACTACAATTTTGTTCTTTTTGGAAATTTATTTTATGATCACTGCCCGTGATAATTTCTGCCTATTTTAAATTATTAGACAATCTAAAACTTTGCTGTACTTAGAATATTAGATAATGGCATTTTTGTCTACCCATCAATCACTCCAACTTAAATCCTAGAAGTTTCCTTTGAAACCTAGTTTTTCTTCATTGTAGCAAAATTGTTTGGATGATACTTTTGCCTTATACTAACTCAGCACCTTCTGAGTTCAGTTCCCGTGCAATTATAATGATATCCTAGGAGAGGGGACTCACATAGAGTGAGTAGTGGTTTGAAGCACCATATAGGCCATAGTGGCATCAGGGTATTTTGTTACTACAAAGGTAGAAGAAAGAGACATCATCAGAAGGATGAAGTCTCAAGACTATAAGGAGCTTCTGGTCTACCCCAGTGAATTGAGGCATTGGGCAATAATGAGAACTGTTGCAGGAACAGATCCTTATTATCATGGTGTCTCTTTTGGATACTAGAAAACAGGAGAGCTTTATGGAAATTCCAGTTTTCATCCACTTAGTCTAGAATAAACTGACGTTCATGCTTTTTCCATAATTGGTGTTATTAATTAGCTCATATTCTTTGTATTTTGTCTCTTTTAGTTTGTCATGATCAGTAAAAGAATCTCCTTTTAAAACCTAAATGTGAATCTCCAAATTTTCATAAGGAGTCTACTATATTCATTTTTTTAATGCCACAAAGTAGACGTGAATTTGTGGAAACTGAATATGTATATTGGCATTATTGTGTAGCAGAAGAAGATAGGGGAAAAAGAAGGGGTAGTGAAGATTTGGAAACTGGCTCAATAACTCTTCCAGATTTTCAATCTCCCTGGCTAGAAATTCTGGCAACATGGATGTAAAAAGCCATGCCAGTAATATTCAACTAGGACTTCTATTAGGGAAAGCTTTCAGGTTTATAAGTGGATCATTTTACACTATTAAATGACAGATTTCCTAGACCAATGTTTTTCAAATGGTCTCTGAGAAATTCTCAGGTAGACACTTCTAACATGAAGATATTTGATGTTATGAGAATAGGCCCCATAAATAGCTTGGGACTCTATTTACAGAGTTTCATAGTGTACCGTATCACATGTAGGTCTCTTAGAATTTTATTTATTTCATTTTGTTTTTGTTGTTTTGTTGTTTTTTATCATCCACTGAGACTATTTCTTTATAGTTTTTAAAGAAATTTTTCTCACTTTCTTAAAGCAGATTTTTCAGACATTTCTTTGTATGTATTTACATTTGGCAGGAAAGATTTCATCTAAATGAAACTTAAGTAAAGATTATTCTATGAAATTAGTCCATTAAAATTATATGACAAATATTAAATCTCAGATTCCAAGAGAGTGTTATGAACTCACCTAGGCATTTTGGTGGTTCTGACCACTGTTTATTTCTGCATGTTGCAGTTATGGAGCCCTGGAGTTCATAGAAGGACTTGCAACGGTACGTCACTGTTGACCCTGGAGGATATACTGATAATGGGAATGAGGTGATATCTCCATATCTAATAGGTGGAGGGGGCCCACAGTATGCTGTAGACTCTGGAAAATAGCATTTATTTGTTGAGAAACAGTCAGTATGTTAGTTTAAATAAAATAAAATAATAAAGCATCATATATCATATCTTTAACATAAGGTGTCTGAAAATTCAAATAATTGCAGTATTTCTGTCGTAACGTCTAATTCAAAACATATAGCTCCTTTCATGTTAAAGTGAAGCTCACAAAATACTGGGAATACTTTTTATTTAAGGCAGGAGAGACAGGTGAGTAAACTTCAAGTCCAGGTTCCTCCTCCGCCCCTTAGTATTCAATTGTTATTTAAAGAGGAAAGGTAAAAGTAAATAGCCTTCTTACAATTTCTAGTCTCAGGGTATTTGTTACTTTATGTAGATAGTATATACCAACTACTATATGATCATAAACTTGTAGTTTTACTGAAAATGAATTGCAGACATACTGTTTTGCATTTACTTTTTGATACCAAAGGCATCTTTCCCTATCAATAAATGTTTCAACTTCATGTTAAGATTGGCTGTAATACACTCCATTGTACTGACTGATCTCCCTTTACATATCACCAAGAACATAAATACAAAATCACTAAATAAGTAATCTTATCCCAAATGACTTGTTTCATTGAGGTACTGACCCTGCTTTCTCAGATTGACTTCTTCATGAGGACACTAGATTCTTTCACCTTTAAACTAGTAAAAGACCATTCTCCATGAATTCTCCCCTTTCTTCTGTAACATCAATTTCCCCATTTCCACTTAATCATTCACCAATCTAGAAACATGCTGAAAATGTCACAGTTCCATAAGGTAAATGTCACTGTATCTATATCTTCTATCCAGCACCTACCTCATTTCTTTATTCCCTTTCAAACACGTTTACTTGTTTCCCATCCTCCATGATTTTACTTTATCACTCCACATTCTTTCTTGAATGTGCAATTACTTACCTCCTTTGGAAATATCTCTAGGCAAAATTACCAATGGTTTTTATTTAGCTAAATAGATTGTTCAATTATCAGGCATCTTGTCCAGCTCTAAGCACTCTTTGACATATCTGATGTATTGTCAAATAATATTTTGAAATTGCTTTTGAAATACAGTCATGCAGCACTTAATAAGAAGAATATATTTTTAGAAATGTGTCATTAGGCTCTTTTTTCCTTGTGTGAGCATCATGGAGTGAGCCTACACAAACCTAGGTAATGTTGCTGCTACATACCCAGTAGTAGGCTATATGGTGCAGCCTATTGCTCCTATTGACCGCAAACCCCTGGCTGCAGGCTGGTACCCTCTGTGGTCTGTTAGGAACTGGGCTGCACAGCAGAAAGTGAGCGGCAGGCAAACGAACATTACTGTCTGAATGCCACCTCCTGTCAGATCAGCCAGGGCATTAGATTCTCATAGGATCTTTAACCCTACTGTGAACTGCACATCCAAGGGATTTAGGTTGCTTGCTCCTTATGAGAATCTAATGCCTGATGATCTCAGGTGGAGCAGTTTCATCCTGAAACCATTTCCAAATCCTCCTTAGTCCATGGAAAAACTGTCCTCAACAAAACAGGTCTCTGGTGCCAAAAAGGTTGAGTATCACTGTCCTAGGCCACAAACCTGTACAGCATGCTACTGTGCTAAATGCTATAGGCCTTTGGGACATGATGGTAAGTATTTGCATATCTAAACATATTTAAACATAGAAAAGGTACAGTAAAAATAAGATAGAAAACATTTTTTAAAAGATGTAGAAATTTCAAACTTGTTTCTTCTATCTACCCTGTTGGAGATAACTCTTAGAGAAACTTTCCTTTTTTTAATGACAGAATTGGGTACTTAGCAATTTCATGCTTCAGGGTACAGTGAAATAGGTTAGTCCTAAGTTCTTTTTCCTTCTCTTTAGATAAAGCATAGGTGGCTAGTAACCTCTTCTTAAGTGAAATTACTTAGAAATAAACTACTAACCAACACAGCGTGGTAATGATTGCCATTTTCCATTTTTACATAGAATTTCTTTTGCTTCTGGAAGTAGATAGTTTTCTTTACAGAGAACAGCTACTTTTTCTCCATCCTGATAATTCACTGTGGTTGTCATATTCTGAGCATTAGGTATCTGAGGTGGTGGTGGGCAGAGTTCCTCTTTTTCTATAAAATATTGAAATTAAATTATATGATTAATAAAAGCTAAGAAAAAACAGCTCAACAGGGTAGTGTTTCAGGATAATGGAACATTTAATAACACACATACACTATGTCTATCACTTTCTTTCTCTCTCTATATATATATAAATGTTACAATAACATGTTTTTTCTGTCAGTAGAGCTTACAGTTTAAAGAGCATTTATTGTTATAACATTAGTTTAAAATTTTTCAGATGTTCTCTTGTATCTCCTATTCATTATCCCAGTCAATTAATTCTCTTGTATAATTCACAAATGAATTGCTTTAAATTTTTTTTCTCACTAACTCATATTATTCAAAAAGTTATGCACATTTAATTCAAACATTTAGAACTAAAAATAAAAGTGACAACAATCAGAAATAACTATGATAGCACCAACTGAGACTTCTCCTAATAACTAAACCCTAGATCTCAATAAAGGATTTCCATAATTTGCATTTTCTTGTAAACATGAAAATGGCTGGTGATGAACCTAACTGGAATGTCTCTGTTGACTAGGAATGGACTTCTTTTTTGGTTGCTTGCTTATTTTTAAGAAAACCTTTAAATGGTTAACTTGGATGCCCATACATTTTCTGAACCTCCTGACCTGGGCTCATGCCCCTTACAGTGGTCTCCTTCATCTCATGTTTTTCCACAGTGGTGGCTACTGTATACTGGCACTTTCCTTCAAAGTTTTCACATTGAAAGGGTGACATGTGTTTCTCCTCACTATACTATTTTCATTTAAAAATCAAGATGAAAGAATGTGTATCTACTCTTTCCTGGTTTAGCTAGATTAAAAAATATAATAACTATATACAGCAGATATTTAATAAATTATTTGAATAGAACCTGAGGTCAGTATATGTAAGCCAAAGCATGCATATTATCTAAAACAGGAATTTTATATTGGATTTTTCCTTAGTTTTCCCAGGCCAGAAATGCAGAATAGCATTTATATTGCAAATTTAAATAAAAGCTGTTTCTGTGTAAATCTAAATACGTATCTGGGACTGGGGTGCACTGATGCATATTTTATGTTTTATATGATTTATCCTGCTTATTTACTGGTTTAAGAAAACTGTGAACTTAAATTACCTAATTCCAGTTGCATCATTATACCAGTCAGTCATTAACAAGACCAGTCTTTTGCAATTGGTCTTATTTCAGTACTTAACTGCAAAACAAGATAAAATTAGCCTGATATTATACATTTTAGATCAGCAAAGTTTGGCTCATGGGCCTGAAGAAAGTCTGTAAGGAGCACATGAAAACAGGATATCAGACAAATTTGATAGGTTGGTCAGTTTTCAATATTATTTATTATTTAGAAGTTTTTCTACTTAGATGTCTTATTACCTATTTGTTTAGGTATTTTGTGAACATTTTGTAAGCTAAATCATTTTCGTTGTTTATGAATTTCTGTTTGGTGGTTTAAATATTTTATTTAAATGTATAGTCACAAAAATGAATACTTATTGAGTATCATCAAGACTCTTTTGAATGAGCATCAGGGCCTGTGCTGCCAACCTAGGGACTCAGCAGCTACCTGCTATCAGCCTCTTAGATGTCTCAATGCTGGGAAACAGGGAAGCTGGGGGTGTCTGTAATCTCAAATGTGCAAATAATAATAAAAACTTCGTCAACAAAGTCCCAGCTAAGTGAGTTAGTAGTTCAAAGGCCACACAATATTATTGTTTTTATATTGTAGGTAAAAGAACATTACAGATAATGATCTCAGTTGTCTAATTTATTTTCCTTTTAGAATTGGACATTCTCTTTAGAAATTTCTGCCTAGTGTAGACAACGACTAGTTAAAACAGCACTGATATAAAAACCTGGAAACAAGTTCCAGTCTTGATTTTGACCAAATAACTTCCTGAATGTATATATTTCTGATGTGTAAAATTATAAATTTTATTATCTTTCTCAAGCATGAGCAATGTGTGTGACAAATATTTGTCATCTAATAATGCTGTCACCTAATTTCCAGATTACTACCCACCAGCTCTTCTCAAAACTTAAGTCTTCTTTCTTATTTTGATATCAGTGCTTCATAGTATTTTCCTTTTCTCTGCTTCTAATTTATTTATTTAAAAAATTGAAATCGTATTATTATTCCCTGTATTTCAGTTAAAATCTACTCTTTATGGAAATGTTTGTGTATGCACACCATTCTTGATTAGAGTCAACTTGTTGGGACAGCTCTGCTTATCAATATTTTTAAAACATTAGTTTCATTGCTTGGATTAGTTGGAAATACAAGTTCTATTTCATTTTCTTCTGCTTTTACTTTTATTATTTCCTTTTTCTTTTAATATCTGAATTTACTTTTCTCCCTAGCTTTTTAGAATATAGGCATGTATCCATACATATTTTTCCCCAAATAGATAAGTTTAAGACTACGAATGCCACACCACTCTAAATTTTGGTTAGGTTGCATCTCTTAGGTTTTACCTTGTATCCTTATAATTATAATATAGTACTTAGTTTTTAAAACATTACATCACTAGGTTATTTGGAAGTAAATTAGTTCCCTACCCAAAATGAAGCGTAGGGAAGTGGATAACTTTTTATCCACTTTTAATGTTATTTGTTTGTGGTTATAAAAAGTGATCTATAGGGCTTTAGTATTTGAAGTTGTGAAGAATATTTGTGGGCAGAATGATTGGCCAATTTAAGTAAACAATTCATGGACACATAAAAGGCTTTAAGCTTCTTTCAATTATCAGAATATTTCTCTTTATCAAATAAATATATAATAAAAATAAAATATTTTATAAACATAAAAATGTTCCACTTGTTTAAACAAATTGTAGTCATCTTTTTGAAATCCTTATGTATTTACATTTAACAATATATTCCACTATTTTTTCCTCACAATTTCTAATGACATCACACTTTCTGTTATATATTAGTATTTCATCTCATTAATGTACATTTGATATGATTTCTGTCAAATTATGACCTGATATGTAAACTCCTAGTCCTTCCTTTGTTTGAAAATTTCTTTAGTTTGGAATCATTAGTGAATTATATTTGCATACAGATCACTTGGTTGGCAGTTACTTTCACTTAGCACTTTGAAGAAATTACCCTATTTTATTTTGCTTTTTATACTGCTGATGAGAAGTCTGCAATCTATCTTCCCTCTTTTATTGTCATCCT